TCCTCCTCCTCTCCTCCTCCTCCTCCCCCCCTCCCCCGCCTCCGCCTCCTCCTTCTCCTTCCCTCCTCTCCTCCTCCTCCTCCTCCTCCTCCTCCTCCTCCTCCTCCTCCTGCTCCTCCTTCTCCTGGGTGAACCTTCCCGAGGCCAAATCTCGACCATCGGGCCTCCCTATCGGTTCTTCTGTCGCAGCGACCCCCGGAGGCCTGGCCCCCTCCCCGGGACCGGCCCCGAGCAGTTGCTGCTGGCGGCCTGGGGGCTCGGCGAGGGCCCTCGGGGCAGAAAGCTGCCCCAAAAAGGCTCCCGTCGCCCAGACATGATCGCGTCGTCGTCGTAAAAGATTCAGGGCGGGAGGTTTTGGGCTATTTTCGGCCCCAGGGAGCCCTCGCCGGGCCCCGTGACCGTCAACAAGAAAAACCGGTCCTCGGGAAAGGGTCGGGACGTCCAGGGACGCCGTCCTGAAAGCATCACGTCGTCGCATGTCTGGGTCGCTTCTTTTTCGCCACGAAAGGAGCTCTATAGCTTTGAGTCAGGCATGTCCCTCTACAGGAGGAACATTCAACAATAGACAAAAGCATCCGGGGACGTTTTTTCTTTTTATTGTTTTTTGTATACGTTTGAGCATGTTGGTGGTATCTGGCATTTCTCATCCAAAATCCGCCTGCAGGGGGGGCACGTCCGACGTAACTGTAGATCTCTCGTCGGTCTCCCTTCTCCCCGCCCCCCGGCGCGCCCTCCGGCAGAGCGTCCGGCACGAAGGCAGGAGGCTCTGGCGCCAGAGGACGTCCCTTCCCCCTGGAGTTACGTCGGGCGCGTCCCTCTATTCAAACATAGTTTAAAAATTAGCCTGGAGACGATTCGTTGATTATTTTGAGCACCTGTGGAGTATTTTTTTAGTATTTCTAATCTTTCGCCCAAAATCCCCCTGTAGGGGGACACGCCCGACCTAACCCTGGAGACGCAGGGTGGCGGCGCGAGGGCGGCCCTCAAAGAATCCAGTCGACACGCTGGAGCAAGGACCGCTCTGGGCTCAGGAGGCGCTCGGGTGTTCGGTCCGCTCCCTGGGTCTGCGCCGTGGAACTCCTCTGTGGCCTCGGCCCGCCGTGGCCAGAGAAGCCACTCCGTTTCTTATCCTGTGCCCCTTATGTCAAGGGAGGAAAAACCACCCGGACCGGACAACTGGCGTTTACTAAACGGCTTTGGGCGTTTACTAAACAACCCTGCCCTGCTCGATTTCTTTAATGGGCGCGTTTGCTAAAGGGTCTTGCTTGTCGGGGTGGTTATTCTAGGGGTGGATGTTTTTGCCTTCTACTATGGTAGCACGATGGCTGTAGGAGAGGGGGGGGGTCTCTGAGGGCGGGGTCCTTCTGACAGGGGCCCGGGGGCCTCCAGGAGAGCCTCTCGGAAGCCTGGAGGGATTTTGCAAAGGTGCCCGCGCCTCCTGAGGAGCAGCTGCCCTCCACCTTCTCAGAAGGCTCCCCTCCGGTGCGCGCCGCCCGCCCCCCTCCGCTACCCTCCCCCCCCCACCCACCTCCATCCTCCTCCTCGGACCAACGCCGGAGGAGGAGGAGGAGGAGGAGGAGGAGGAGGAGGAGGAGGAAGGAGGAAGGAGGAGGAGGAGGAGGACAGTGTTAAGGGCTTGGTCCGAAGAGCGCAATCCCCCGACCAAGAACGCCGAGCGGGTGGTCGCATGCTTCTCCAATGGCAGGCGTGTAAAACACTAGGAGTCCTAGACGCGCCGAGGTGACACCACGTTCCAGCTGGCGTCTCTGGACCTCGTCGTCGCGAAGTTCTTCCGAATTCTCCTCCCTCCCTCCCTGCCTCCCTCCCTCCCCCCACCTGGCGCGCCCCAGCAGAGCGTCAGCACGAAGCAGGAGGTCGGGGCGCTGAAGGACCAGCTCAAGCAGGTGTCGGAGAGCGTGGCGGCCACCGCCGAGGCGGACGCGGCCCGGCGCGGGGCACGGGGGGGGGGGGGTCCTGGTCAGGCGGCTCCCCAGGGCGAGGTCCCTCCGCCCCCTCAACTCCCCACTCATCCCTCCCTCCTCGCTCCCTCGCTCCCTCCTCGCTCCCCCATCCTCCCTCCCTCCTCCGTGGCCTTCCTGGCTCAAGTGCCATCTCGGCTCAGGCCTGTTTGGCTCGAGTGAGTTTGCTTCCCTAGCCG